GCTGCGTCCAGGGAGACAGAAAGCGCTGGAGCCGGCGCCGCACGGTTGCCAGTCTCGGTTCCTGCTTTCTCCCTGCAGAGGAACTTTCCCATGCAAAATGTAGGGGGGCCCAGAGGCCACCTGCTACTGGGCGCCACCACCCCTCCCTGGACCCCACCCCAGCCCAGAGGCTTTAACACTGAGTACTCCGAGGCGGGGGCAGGACCCCAAATACTCTCTGGGAAGGTTAAATAGGACCCCCTGCCCCCACCGGCCCCACGGCACTCACAGAGGCCATCTGCGGGGTCAGGGGAAATTGAAGGGGGCAGGATGGGATCGCTGATAAGGAGGGGGTCCCGCAAATGACTCACTTCTCCCTTCGTACCACCTGGGAAAGCCTCAGAGTAAGAGGCCCCGGTTGGCAGGACCTTTAATGTCAAGATCATGCCATTTCAGAGCGCCTGTTTTTAACTTCTGCTAGTTTCTTTTTGTTCTCTCTCTCTCTCTCTCTCTCATTCCTTCTTTCTTTATTTTTCTTCTCTTGCTTGCCTGGACCTTTTCCAATGAGCCCATGTTCTGGAAGAAGAAAGCACAACTTTCAAAACGCAGAGACCTGCAGGGTCCCAGCGCCCGGTGCAGGGAGCAGGGCGGACAGCAGAGGTGGAGGATCAGGTGCAGGTGACAGCCCAGCTTTGACAGCTCCTCCTGGGTCACACAGCCACACAGTGGGTTCAGTGGGACCTTCCCAAAATCCACATCTACCCAGAACCCGTGAGTGAGACCTTATTTGGAAATAAGGTCTTTGCATATGCAACTAGGGAACTAGGGAAAGATCTAGACAGGAGATCAGCCTGGATTAGGCTGAGGCCAAAATGCACTGACAGGTGTCCTTATAAGAGACAGAAGAGGAGACACAGACACAGAGGAGAAGCCACGTGAAGACGGAGGCAGAGACTGGAGTGATGCGGCCACACGCCCAGGGACACCTGGAGCCACCAGGAGCTGGAAGAGGCAGGAAGGATCCTCCCCTGGAGCCTCTGGAGGGAGCACGGCCCTGCCACACCTGGACCTCAGACTTCTGCCTCCAGAGCTGGGAGAGGACACATTCCTGTTGTGTTAAGCCCCAAGCTTGTGGTCATTGTTATGACAGCCCTGGGACACTCCTACGAGCAATGATGGGTGTGTCCAGGACTCACGAAGGTAGACGAGTCATCCATCCCGTCCACGTGTCAGGCACAACTAGTGAGTCTCCAATCCGGAGGCTCCTCACAGCTACCTGCAAGGCTTGGCACAGACACCGGCCCGCTGAGCCCTGAGAACCCGTCCTGGGAAGGTGGCCTCTGCAACAGAAGAGCTGCCACTCGGACACTCGGCTGAGGAGCGTCCAGATGGCCGCTGGGCAGATGTATCTGCTTCCTCCTGGCAGCTCAGAGCTGTGGGAAACCCAAACCCTCGGAGTTCACACTTTGGCTTCAGGGCCAAGCTACCTACGAAGATAAAAATGTCTTAGGAGAGGCCAGCGTTCCTACCAAATGTGTGCAGGGACACTGGATTCTCTCCTGAGAACCAGCAGAGAAGGGTGCCCCCGAGCCGCATGAGAATGCAGCCAACTGCCTTCAAATGCCACCCTGCATGCCACTGCTCCTCCCACACCAGGGCTGACCACGTGCTTCCAGCATCATTGTCCATGCCCAAGAGATGCCCTGAAAACAGAGTGGACCCTGCTGGCCCCTCATCTTACTGCCACCAATGGCTCCCAGTGGCTCCCAATCCTCAGCAGAAAAGGCTAAGTCCCTGCAACAAAGCCCCGTGGGACCTGCTGCCAACTGGACCCCACGTCCCCATGCATGCTCTCCGCAGCCACCCGTGCTGAGCCTCAAGCCCAGTAAGGATGCCGGTGCCCCAGGACATTTGCACCAGCTGTGTTCTCCACTGAGGATGCCCTCGCCAAGACGCCCAGGCTCACACCCTCACTCCGCACAGGTCTTCTCCAACACCTTCGTAAAATAACACTCCCGCCAAACTCCCCACCCTGCACAGGGCTTACACCCCCCCGGCTGTTTGTTGTACTTTAATTTGCTTCTTTCCACGGCCTGTGTCTCCTCCAAGGAGGGCAGCGACGTGGCTCTAGTTAGTGCCGATCCCTGCAACGTAATCGGAGCCACATCAGAGGAGATGCATAAATCCCTGCTGAGTGAATGAGTAAGAGTGAGAAAAAGGCCACGCAAACTCAGCACAGTCACTTGTTAAAATGAATGTTGGATGCCACTAATTAAGAAAACAATCAGTGGGGGCCGGCCCGGTGGCGCACTGCTACAGTGCGCTGCTTGGGGAGCGCGGCGGTGCTCCCGCTGAGGGTTCGGATCCCACATGCAGACCGGCCGCTCACTGGCTGAGCGATGTGCGGGAGCAACGCCGAGGGTTGCGATCCCGTTGCCGGTCACGAAAAAAGACAAAAAGGAAAAAAATAATAAATAAATAAATAAATAAATAAATAAATAAAAAGAAAACAATCAGTGGTTTTGTCTTTTTGCTCCCCTGTGCCCATCTGGACTCGATCCCGAACTGAGAGGCTCCTGTCCAGGGGACATGGGGGAAGCCGGCCCCGACGACACCCGCCCGCCCCGTGGCAGGACCGTGGCTACCTCCTTCTGCAACGCACCAGATTATAGTTATCAAACTGGCCAAGACTCGGGGGGATCTGCGGGTCCCCACAAGGACAGCAGCCAACCCCCAACACTCAAAACAGAGCGACCGTCCGCTTCCCCTGCCCATCCGGGGTGGTCTTTGTCAGCCGAATGGTCCGCCTCCTTCTGTGCCCACAAGCCCCTTTCGGAGCTGCTCTTTGCCATGTCCTCGGGGACCCCAGGCCCTCTGGGACACGGGGGACGGGGGCATGGGGCAGCCGCGAAGAGTTGGTGCCTCACGTCCCTTTCCTCCATCCCCTTGTCCCTCCTGGAAATCGCGTCTCCCCGTCCTATAGCGCCCGTGGCCTGCTGCCACCCTCATGGTGGCCCCAGGGTTCCAGAAGGAGGGCAGTCCCAAGGCCGTCGGCACTCTGAATTGGGGTGTCCTTCCCGGAAAGGGGAGGTTTGTAACAAGCATGTCCCCAGGCAGGGCCAACACTGGGCAGGGCCGCTGTGTAGTCTCAGCACCGCCAACAGGACAGGGGTTTGGGGACTTTATTTTGGGGGGAGACATTCACACGAACGCAGTGAGCCATGTTACATACTCAGTTCATGGGCACTTGGCAGGAGAAAAGAAAGAGCCAGGGGGAGGGACGGAGAGAGGCTGGGACAGAGAGAGGAAGGAAGGACAGAGGAAAACCCCCGCCGCTCTCATTTAGGGGCTGGTCTGGGCCGACAGTCAGTGTCTTCACCCCGAAGCACAGCGTGACTCGGGCTCCGGCTCCAGCCACACGGCGGCTCTTATCACGGGGTCCGTGCAGCTGGGGGAGCCGGGCGTGTCGCAATGGGCCACCTGCTGAGGTCAGTCTTGCCCCCTTATCTTCAGCAGCCACACACTCTGCCCAAGAACAGCCTGGCACCTGCTCGGACGCCTCCACTTCCCTTTGTCCCTTCGCATCCCCTGTCCCAATCCCGTCCTTCTCTGGCCAGTCTTTTCCCAGGAGCTGGTTTGAAACGCCCCTCCCCGACTATGCCCCAGAATCTGCCTCTGTGCTCCACCCTGTGGCACTGGGGCCACGGAGCCCTCTAAGGGGGCTGCCTCCCTGCACTGGTTCAGCCTTGAACTCAGATCGATGACTGCCCGGTGTCCCACGGCTGAAGCCTGTGCTCCACTGGATCTCCCCCAAAGCCCACCTGTCATCCGTGTCTGCAGCCCAGGGTCCCAGTCCTAGCACGCGCTCTGCACCGTGGATGGTCACTGAGCATTTTGGAATTGCCCGGATTCTTCATAAGATGCCCATTGCCCAGGAGGACGCGTGAGGAGATCTGGTTCTTCTCGTGGGGGCGGAGAGGGCTTTCGTCCCCAGCAGGGGCTGCTTAACAGACACCTGAACCCTGGCGGGAGGGTGGGTGTATGAGTGTCCCAGGGCTGCTGTAACAAATGGCTAAGAACTGGGGGGCTTAAAACAACAGAAATTCATCCTTTCCCAGTTCTGGAGGCAGGAGTCTTAGGTCCAGGGGTGGCAGGGCCGTGCTCCCTCCGGAGGCTCCAGGGGAGGATCCTTCCTGCCTCTTCCAGCTCCTGGTGGCTCCAGGCGTCCCTGGGCCTGTGGCCACATCACTCCAGTCTCTGCCTCCATCTTCATGTGGTCTCTCCTCTGTCTGTGTCTCCTCTTCTGTCTCTTTAGGACACATGTCATTGGATTTAGGGCCACCCTACTCCCAAGATGACTTCATCTTAACTAATTACATCAGTAACGACCCTGTTTCCAAGTAAAGTCACGCTCTGAGATTCCAGGTAGATGGAGATTTTGGAGGCAGCGGGAAAGTCACTTGAACACACAATTCAAGCACTCGACAAAGCGAGTCGAACCTGGGCGGAGAAGGCTGCAGGGAGGCGCTGAGTCGGGTGGGCTTGGGAGTGGGGCCAAGCACAGGGTGGGCATCTCTGGACGGAGGGCCGGGGGTGACTTTGCTGAGCAGAGGAAAACAACAGATTCCAGCGCTGGAAAGGGAAGCTGAGGGCAGCGTGGTGGATGCCACACGAAAGGTTGGATTTGACCCGCTACGCCCAGGACAGCTTTCTAATCTGGGACTTTTCTGACCAGGACTCCCCGAGCACAGCCATGAGTCCTTGTCTGACTCCATTTACTACAGCAGAACCCGACCTTGTTCAAATGGAAAGCAGTCATTAAAATTGTAACAAAGAGGAACAGTCGGGGAGAAATGACAACAGGAAAGTGACACTTTTAAAAAGAAACAGTGTTCTGGGAAAGCGCACGGCGGCTTTCCACACTGCTGAGTCTGGAATCCCAGCCCCGGAGAGAGACAAGGGGTCCCTTGACCATGCACGTCCACAGCGCAGCCCACGGAGTCTGACTGTTAGGGGAGGGGCCCCGCCTGGAGTCTATAAATAAAGCTGAACAGGGACAAAGAGCTTCAGTTTCTCTTTGGGGAGGGTTCCTTCAGTAGAAACAGGCAAATCGGAGCTGGAACGTCTGGGGTTAGGGACTCTCCGGGGTCAGGATCCCCAGAGCAGCTGGCCTCCCCGACACTGGACACTCCTCTGCAATAAGGTAAGATCTGCCCCCCGGGCTGGGACGAGGGAGGGAAGGCAGGCAGGGGGCCGAGCATGCTCTCCCTGCAGATCCACACTGGCCCAGACATTGGCACCGGCCACAGGTGGCCACAGAGCCTTTGACAGTGGCCGGTTGCAGCTGAGATGTGCTGCCCATGGGCAAGTACGTGCCGATTCAACATGTCAGTACCAGAAAAAAGATGCTCCCTGTCTCGTTAGGAATTTTTACCTTGATCACATGCTGAAGGGAGACCATTTCAGATGCATTGGGTTAAATCGTGTATAGGATTAGAATGTTACAATTTTTTCACCTTTTGCCACGTGGCGCCTAAAAAATGCACACATGCCCGCGTGGCCGCCGTTGTGTTTTTATTGGACGGCGCTGGTCAAGGCTGGTGCAGCCCTGATGTCTGGGGCTGCCTGCTGGGGAGCCACTTGGGGGCTGGGACCCCACCCTAGTCATAGGGTTTGTCAGTAGTTCTTGAAGGCTGGTGAGACTTGAATACCCTGGAGGGCTCGCGAAAGCGCAGATCCCTTGTGGCAGCGTGATTCGCACCACCCAAAACGGAGACAGGGCCCAGACGTCCATCCGCGGACAAACCATGAAACAAAACATGGACCATCCATGGGACGGGATATTATCTGGCCATAAAAAGGGACGAAGCCTGACACCTGCTGCAATCTGGGTGAACCTCCAAACCACAACACCGAGCGAGAGAAGCCAGACACCGATGACTAGAACTGCAGAGTTCTATTTCCAGGAAATGTCCAGAATAGGGAAATCCACAGAGACAGAAAGCAGATTGCTGGTGGCCAGGCGCTGGGAAGCGGGGATGGGGAGGGGGTGCTTTATGGGTACGGGGTCTCCTTCTGGGGTGATGAGAATATTCTGGAACTAGGGCCGGCTCGGTGGCGCACTGGATAAGTGCGCCGCTTGGGAAGCGCGGCGGCGCTCCCGCCCGAGGGTTCGGATCCCACATACAGACCGGTTCCTGCTCACTGGCTGAGCGAGGCGCGGGAGCAACACCGACGGTTGCAATCCCGTTGCCGGTCCCCGGTCCAGTACGGGGGCAACACTGAGGGTTGCGATCCGTTGCCGGACACGGAAAAAGACAAAAGACAAAAAAAAAAAAGAGAATATTCTGGAACTAGATAGAAGTGGTGTTTGCACAGCGTGGTGAGTGCACTGAACGCCTCTGGATTGTGCGTTTTTAATTGGTGAGTTTTACGGCATATGAATTTCACATCAATGGAAATGCTAATGAACACATTTTATCTTATTTATTCATTTTTGGCAGCTGGCCAGTACAGGGATCGAACCCTGGACCTTGCTGTTATCAGCACCGTGCTCTAACTCTCTGAGCTAACTGGCCAGCCTTCATCAGTACATTTTTTAAAAACACTGATTCCCGAGCCTCACGTCAGCATTCTCACGCAGTGGGTCTTGCTGGGCCAGAAGCCCCACAGGCAACGATGCTGATGGTGATGCTGGAGACCACATTTGGGGCAGCGAGGTCACTATGGGACACTCCCTGCCACCTCCTGCTTTCCCCACTGGGCTGCACCAGCTGGTTCGGAGGTAGCTCATGGTCCCGCCCCGAGCAGGCTCAGAAGCGTCCCAAGGTTCATTTCTCCTGAACCCCCCATTCTCTGCTGCCCCCCAGCCCCGTCCCCAACCTCGAGGGGCTTGGCTTCCCCTGGGGTTGTCCCTTCAGCTCACAATTTGAGGGCAATCAATATGCTCGCCACGGTTAATGCCATTTGGTTGTTTAAAGAGAATGTGCCCCTCTTCACGTGAGGAAAGATGCCTCACTGTGCAATTCTTACTGTGCTGGCGCCAACTGTATGCACGGGAGCTTGCCGTATCTGAGCAGATCCCAGGAACAGGCTCCCACACCCCCCTGGATACCCCCTGGGGGGCAAACCCCAGGATGGCCGCTGGACTTGTCTTCATTAAATAGGCATGAGTCCAGGCTGTTGTTGGTCTATCGTTGAAATTTTGATATTGTCCTTATCAAGGATGTGGTGCTTTGGCCTTTTACGGTAGGGAGGGTCAGCAGCCCCCTCCTCTATTCCAGCCAAGATTTTCCAGATGGGATCACCTGGAGGGGCATGTTCTGTGGGGGGGTGGTCCCAAAGAGCAGGGAGAGACTGAGCCCCTGGGGAACGGGGTGGCCCCCACGGCAGGTGAGGCTCTGAGGTTCCTCTGTGGGGTCTTCTGCTGGGTGCGCCTGAGCTGGCCCCCACGCGCCGGGGCTCAGCAGGAAGGAGCTGGAATCATGATTGCTGCTGCTCCTGCTGTCAGTCAAAAGGGTACTCCAGGGCAGTGGTGATGCTCGTGAAAGACAACTCTGGGTGGGGGAATAGGGTGGGTCCATCAGGAGACCCCAGGGCTGGCTGCCCCAGAGGGCACAGAAGGCCACTTCCCCCGTATGAGGGAACAAAAGAGCCAGCCTGCAGACGGCTCTGTAGGGACATGGGGAGGCGGTTCCTAGCTGGGATTTCGAGATTACACAATGAGCAGTTACTGTAACCCGGTTCACTTAGGAAGTCCTGTCTGTGCTGGTTTCATCATTTTAATTAAACTTCCTTCCACAGCTTTGTTCTCTGAGCACTTCCTGGTGCACCACAGGGAGTGAGCTTTCCCCGTTTCTGGACGGGCTGCAGCCAGGAGCGTGCCATACCTCCAGGGCGGGAGCTCTTTCAAAACAGGCTGTGCATGCACACACGTAGATTTACATACACATATGCACACAATCAGGCACGTGCACGTATACATACGTATATACTTGCATGCACACACACAATGCACACACAAGCACACGATACATACACACAACAAGCACACATGCACACACATTGATTCACAGACACATATTTGTGCACAATATGTACATACATATATGCACACACGCTTCAGTACCCATCACACATGCATGCTCGTGCATGCACGTGTGTGTGGATACGCAAACATGCATGCACACACACATAAGTTTACATGCACATGTCCACACACTCACACACGCATATCCATACATACACGTGTGCACACATGCACAATGAGACCATGTGCCCACATGCATGTACAAGTGTGAATGTGCATGTGTTTGCACACATGACATATGCACACATGTACACATGCACAACACAGAATAAACACACATGCACTTGCACGAAGGCCTTCCCACCTGGAGGGAGCTCCATGCTCTCTTAGCACCACTTTCCCTAAGGAGCCGAACCTCCTCCCAGCACCCCCATCCAGCCCCTGCAGCCTCTCCCACTTGCTAATGGTCCCTTCCCTTCCAGCTCGCCCCTCTCTCCTGCGGGAGCCGCATCAGCCATGGCTGTCCTCTGGCTCATGATGTTCCTGGTTCCCGTCTCCTGTCAGCTGCAAACCAAAGGTATGCACTGGAGGAAAAGCTGTGTACAGTCTGCGCATCTGTGGGGTGTTTCATTTTTCCATTAAACTTTTTATGCTGAGATCAGTGTAGGTTTACATGCAGTTGTCAAGAATGATACAGAGCCTCCTCATGCACCCCTCACAACCTCCCTCCCCTCCATGGTAAGAGCTTGTAAAACTCTAGTGCATGGTCACAGCTAGGACCTTGATTGTGGTGCAGTACCACTGTTGGGCATTTTGATGCAGCTCAACTGCTAGGATCAGTAGCTCACCTTAGTTCAGTATTACCATTATGATGAGAAATTGTGTTCGACCTTCAACATGCATCACCTGATTCCTGGGTAGGGCAACCAAAAAGACCATCATTATAGCCTGAATTGTGTCCTTCCATCCCCAGTGGAGTCCCCTGCTCCCCAGTACCTTTGAATGTGACCTCATTTGGAAATAGAGTCTTTAAAGAGTTGATCAATTAAGATGGGGCAATGCTAGAGTATTATGGGACCTGAATCCAATATGACTGCTGTCCTTACAACAGGGGAAATTTAGACACAGACACAGGTGACAATGCCATGGGAAGACGGAGGAATAAACTGGAGTGATGTCTCTACATGCCGAGGGTTGCTGGCAGCCACCAGGAGCCAGCAGGAGAGGCATGGGATGGATTCTTTCTCAGAGCCTCCAGAAGGAACCTATCCTGCCCACACCTTGATTTCTGGTCTCCAGAGCCTTGAAGATAAATTTCTGTTGCCTCCCAGTTTGTGGAACTTTATTATGGCAGCCCTGGAAAACAGATATAGTAGCTCACAAATAAATGTCGTTTTGCCAAAATGGCACAGTTATGAGTTGGACAGTGTCCCCCAAATTGATGTTGAAACCCTAGTCCCCAATACCTGTAAATGTGACCTTATCTGGAAATTGGATCTTTGCAGATGATCACGTTAAAAGGAGGTCACTAGGGTGTGCCCTAATCCAATAGGACCGGTGTCCTTATAAGAAGAGGCGGTTAGGACACAGACACACACGGAGGGACGGCCATATGAGGACAGCAGGCAGAGATCAGAGGTATGCACCTATAAGCCAAGGAATGCCAAGCATTGCCAGCAAACACCGAAAGCTAAGAGAGAGGCGTGGGACAGGTTTTCCCTCGGATCCTCCAGGAGGAACCAACCCTGCCGACACCCTGATATCACACTTCTGGTCTTCAGAACTGTGAGAACTAGACATTATAAAGGAGCCGTCGCTTCAAGCTTTGAGGGGCAGATGAATGAGCTGGTGGACACATCAGAGCCACGCGGCACCAAGCACTCTCTGTCCTGGGAACAGTCCTGTGGCCCCACCTATACTGCCATGGATGTCCGGGACACGGGCATCACTCATTTGCTAAAACAATGTTGTTTTCAGACAACCAGGCAGTCGGTGTTCTCTCCATGGTCAAGGAGAGAGACCAGAATCTGTGCCCGGTAAGGGAAGTAGCACGTCTTAAATGCCGTGCGTCAGTTTCCCCGTGCCTCCAAGCTCTTCGGTAGTTTTATGAACCCTGCTTTACATGGGGGAATAAACTTGGATTTCAAATATCCTCGAGAATCAAATGCCAGTCCCTGTAGAGCTCGAAACGACAGAAAAAGAATTCCGACAACAATCTTAAGGAAACTCACTGAGATACGAGCAGACTCCATTAGAAAACACAATGAAATGAGAAATAGAAATCCAGCAGATGAAGGAAGAAATCTGCAAGGAGATTAATAGCTTAAAAAAGAATGTAGCATTTGAATACACATTTTTACAAGTATAAATTTTGCTGGAAGCACTGCACGAGCCTGCATCCTATAAATTTGGATACGTCGTGCTTTGATTTTTATCTCTAATTTCCCTGTGATTTTTCTTTTTACTCATTGTTTATTCAGGAGAGCGTTGTTTAATTTCCACACTTTGGGGGTTTTCTAAATTTCCTTCTGTTATTGTGATCAGAGAACACATTTTCTATGACGTTAGTCTTTTTAAGTATATTAAGACTTGTTTTGTCGTCAAAAATAAATTAAAGAAAAAAAAGATTAAGTGAGCTAATACTTGACCCCATGCCTAGAGGGGAAAAAAAAATATCTTCAAGTAAAGGAGAAGCTTTTAAAACCTGAAAGGGGACATACGTAGGCAACAAGTCCCCCTTACTTTTTCTTGCTTGCATTTTGTAGATTTACAGATGTGGACAAATTAGCGTCTCCTTAGCCCATGTGTGGCTCATATGAGACACTCAGTGGTCATGATGATTAATAACTTGGGGAGAGACATGCGCATTTAGTCCACAACAGCTGCTGTAACGAAGTACCATAAACCGGGTGGCCTAAGCAACAGACATTTATTGTCTCATGGTCCTGCAGGCTAGAAGTCCAGCCTCAAGGCTCTGGCAGGGCTGTTTGAAGTCTCTAGGGGACGATCTGTTCCAATTTTCACATGGTGTTCTCCCTGTGTGCATGGCTGTGTCCAAAGTCCCCTTTTTACAAGGACACGTGTCATATTAGATTAGGAACCCACCCTACTCCAGTGTGACCTCATCTTAACTAAATTCATCTGCAATGAACCTGTTTCCAAATAAGGTCATATTTGCAGTTACAGGGAGTTAGGACTCCAACATGTACATTAGGGGGACATAATTCAGCCCGTGACAGGTGGATCTGCCTCCACGGGCTCATTCAATGACCCAGGAATCTTATATCGGATCGTGCGGCCCCCTCCTCTCCCAGGAAGAGCATGGAGGAGTGTGCGGGTCAGGACTGGAAGAACCACCGGTCACTTCTGCCCGTCCCATGCACTGGGACTCAGCCACGTGGCTAGGCCCACAAGAGGGGCCGGGGCTTCCTCCGTGTCTCCACATCCCACAAGGTCCCACCATGATCTCAGCTCTGTTCCTGGTTCCCGCCTTTGTCTGCCCATTTCTCTTGGGGCAGAGGCTGCTGTGCCTTTGAGGTCACCAGGGTGCACAGGGTTCTAGAACGGCTGACCGCGGTCAGGAAGTGTGTTTCCTTCTAGTATTGACATACTAGGGGCTGAAGGAAGCAGCTAACACACTCTCAAATTCTGATATTTTCCCCTCCAAGTCCTCTAAAGCCCCCACCTTGGTCAAATTACATTCTCGGGGCCACAGATTGGTATCATACCGGTCAGTGCGAGATAAAAGCATTGAAGCCAGACCTGCCTTTGTCCCAGACTTATGGGGGAGTGTTTTGTCTTTCAGCATGAAGTCCGAGCTAGCTGAGGGATTTTCGTAGATTTACCAGGGGAAGGAAGTTTTCTTTGATGCCTAATTTGCTGAGAGTTTTAAATCATAAACGGATATTCAATGTTGTCAATTTCCCCCCTCCTTCTATGGAGATCAGCAGTTTTTTGTTAATGAAGTAAATGATATTGATTGCTACAACAATTGTGCATTCCTGCAGTAAATCCTGCTTGGCCATGTGATATTATCAATTTTTTATATTGCTGGAGTCAACTTATATATATATATATATATATATTAAAGATGACCGGTAAGGGGATCTTAACCCTTGACTTGGTGTTGTCAGCACCACGCTCTCCCCACTGAGCTAACCGGCCATCCCTATATAGGATCTGAACCCGCGGCCTTGGTGTCATCAGTACCACACTCTCCCGAGTGAGGCACGGGCCAGCCCTAACTTATTGATATTTTTGTTAAGAGATTTTGTGACTGTTTATAATGGATATTGCACTCCCCTTGGGAAACCCAACTATAACTTATTCTAACAAAAATTTCAACTGGATACAACATCCCATTGTTTTTAATTTTTTTTAAATTGACAAATTAAAATCATATATATTTTGGCATGATGTTTTGGGATGTGTATACACTGTGGAATAACTAAACCAGCTAAGTAACATAAATCCTGCTTTTCTGGTTTACTATGAATGTCTTTGATTTTGGTATCGGGATAGTACCGCATTCATAAAATGTGCAGAAATGTCCCCTCCGTTTCTTTTTGAAAGTCTGTGTCCTCGGACGGAATTCCTTCCTGAAGTATGTGATAGGATTCACCAGTGGAACCAACTGTACTTAGGGTTTTCTTTGTGGGAAGGTTTTTCACTATGAGTTCTATTCCTTTAATAGAATTAAGGCTATGAAGGTTTTCTATTTTTTATGACAGTGGTGTTTGTGTCTTTCACTAAATTTGTCCATTTCGAATGTTGTTGAATGGGTCGGCATAAATTTGTTCAAATGCTCCCTTATTATTCTTTCAATATCTATATAATCCACATCGTTGCCTCTTTTTTCATTCTGGAAAACGGTCACTTTTGCTTTGTCTCTTTTTTTCTAGGTAGAAGTTATTAATCATATAGATCTTTACAAAGATGCTTTCTTCGATGGCCTGCACTGTTCTTCCATTACCTTTTTCAGTGGTTTTTATTCTCTTTATTATTGTAGGTTTAATTTTTTAAAAAACTTCAATTTGCTCTTCTTTCTCCAACTTCCTAATGTGGAAACTTAGATTATCAAATTTAGACGCTTCTCTTGTCTAGGAAGCATTCGATGTGATAAATCTCCCTGCAAACATTGCTTTAGCTGGATATCACAAGTTTTTTTTTTTTTAATTTTCATTCAGTTCAAAATATTTTCTATTTTTGTGTGTGATTTCTTCTCTGACCTATGGGTAATTTAGAAGTATGCTGTTTAATTTGCAAATATATAGTATTTTCCACATTAAAAAATAATTGATTTCGAGTTTAATCCTGTTGTAGTCAGAGGACATACTGTGTTTGATTTAAGCTTTGTAAAATGTACTATGGGGCCGGCCCAGTGGTGCACTGGAGAGTGCACCACTTGGGAGCATGGCGGTGCTCCTGCCGAGGGTTCGGGTCCCATGTGGAGACCGGTTCCCGCTCACTGGCTGAGCGCAGTGCGGGCGCAACACCGAGGGTTGCAACCCCGTTGCCAGTCCCCGGTACGGGCGTGACACCGAGGGTTGCGATCCCATTACCGGTCAGTAAAAAAAGACAAAAAGGAAAAAAAAACTGTACTATGACTTATTTCACATCTCAGTATGTGGCCCATTTTCATGAATCTTCTATGAGCCCTTTATAAAAATGTGCATTCTGCTGTTGTTGGTTATACAATTCCATAAATGTTAATTAGGTCAAATTGGTTGATATTTTTGTCCAATCCTCTGCATCCTTCCTGTTTTCTGTCTATTTATTCTATCAATTAGAGAGAGGGCTCACGCTTATGCTTTACGTATTTTGAAGTTTTGTTATTGGGAGCATACATGTTTGAATGAATTCGTCCCTCCTTATCTTTGGAAATATTCCTTGTCCTGGAGTCTGCTTTATCTCATACAAGGGTACAACCAAAAGTTTATGGAAAGATTTGTATTATCTTTTAATTCCATTTTTACACAAATGTTTTGAAGTACTGTCATATTAATATAACAATTCCAGGTTTCCTATGGTTAGAGTTTGCATGAAATATATTTTCTCATTATTTTAATTTCATCTGTACTTAAATTTAAGCCTTTGTTGTAAGCATACTGTTGGGTGTTGGTTTTCATCTAGTCTGACAGTCTTTTCCTTAGAGTTTACAGACCATTTACCTGTCTACATTTACTTACTAACATGGTTGGTTTTAATTCTATGATTTTCTTATTTGTTTACTATTTTTCTCATATTTTATTTGTTATTTTTTTCTTCTTTTCCTGACTTCTTTTCAGTTCATTAAGCATTCTTCATGTTCCATTTTTTTCCTCCCCTGCTGGCTTTTGGACTATACCTCTTTGTTTCATTGATTTATTGATGATTCTGGATTTAAAATATGCATCATTAATTTATCACATACTATCTTCAAATAATATTATTCTACTTCACATATAATGTGGAAATCTTGTGATGGCACACTTCTGTTTTCCATCTAATCTGTTGTGCTGTGCTGCGCATATTACTTATTACATATCATATAATCCCACAATACATGGTGATTACTTCTTAGCAGTCAGTTATCTTTTTTCACTATTAAAAATGAGAAAAAGTTTTCTACGTTACTATTTCTGGTACCCTCCCTTTGAATTCCTTTTTACTTTTCTTTTACATTTCTTTGTGCAGATCTCGTTTTCCTTCAACTGGAAGAACCTCCTTTAACGTTTCTGTAGTCCTGGCCTTCTGGCAACAAATTCTTTCAGCTTTGTTAGTCTGTATCTTTATTTCACCTTCCATTTCTGCTGGATATAAAATTGTAGGTTGACAGTCATGTTTGTGGTTGTTACTGTTTTCTTTCAGGCTTCAAAGGTGTCATTCTTCTGTCTTCCATTGTTTCTAATGAGCAATTGGCAATAATTATTATCTTCCTCCTCAAATATGCACTGCGTCTTTTTTCCTCTGGTTATTTTTAAGATTTTTCTTTATCCCACTGTTGTTGTTTTTCAGCAACTTGATTATGGTGTCTCTGGGGATTTTTTATTGTTTAGGTGGTTGGTGCATGCATGCACATGTGTGCGTGTGTGTTGTGTTTTCTGCTTAGTGTTTTTGATCGCCAAGAATCTATGGGTTTATAATTTTTACTGAATTTGGACATGTTTAAGCCTTTATGTCTTCAAATATTTTTGTGACCCATTTCCTCTTGGACTGCAAATATGGGTTTGCTACACCACTTTCCATTGTCACCCACATCACTGAGGCTTTATTTTTCTCAGCCTTTTTCTCTTGGTGCTTCAGCTTGGATACATTTTACTGCTATATCTTCAAGTTCACTGAACTTTCCCAGTTTGATGTCTCACTTCCTTTTAAGCTTATCCAGTGATTTTCTTTTTTCCTTTTCAGTTGTTATGTTTTTCACCTCTACAAGTCGCATTTAGTTCTTTTTTAAAAAGTGTCTTTTTCTTCCCTCATTGTATTGTGCTCATGTTTTCCTCTAAGCCCTCGAACATATTTATAACGGCCATTTTTAAATCCACGTCTACTAATTTCATTGTCTCTGTCATTGAGGAGCTTATATATTTATTTATTTTCCATCAAAATAGCGAAGTTAGATAGAAGCTTATCTCTGCAGGGCAATATTTCTTTCTGGTTATAGATAAAACCTCTCTGCCACTCTGGGTATCTAGTAATTTTTTATTCAATGCTGGATATTGTGAAAAATAGATGGATGAGAATCTAGTTTTGTTGTTGCCCTTTAAAAATGTTGAGTTTTGTTTTGGCAGGCTATTACGATCTTACCTTGTTAGAACTTGAATGACTCTCAGCTTTAAGTAAACTCTCAGGACTTTTCAGCTTACAGCTCCCAAGGAATCTCTTCCCAGAAGTTTTCTGAGTCCTACGCTGCCCCTTATACAATGTCTGAAAATAGTCGGTTTATGTATTTGCCCAGTTTTCCAGTTTTTTACATTGAGAGGTAAATCTAGGACTAGTTACTTTATTGTGAGTAAAAGAGCATTTCCTACCATCTATAATTATTTTATTTATTTATTTATTTATTTAATTTTATTTATTTATTTTTTCCTTTTTGTCTTTTTTTTGTGACCGGCAACGGATCGTAACCCTCAGTGTCGCGCCCGTACCGGACCGGGACCGGCAACGGGATTGCAACCCTCAGTGTTGCGCCCGCACCTCGCTCAGCCAGTGAGCAGCCGGTCTGTACATGGGATCTGAACCCTCGGCGGGAGCGCCACCACACTCCCAAGCGGCGCACTGTAGCAGTGCGCCACCAGGCCGGCCCTATAATTATTTTTTAAAACCCAAAGTTGAGAATATTACCATCTTCTTTCAGAACACATTAGTATATTGAGGTAAATGATCTTATGCAGTTACATGGTTTTTGATTTATTTTGTCTTTACAGAATTCCCTTTTTTTTTTTTTTTGTCTTTTGTCTTTTTTCCGTGTCCGGCATCGGATCGCAACCCTCAGTGTTGCCCCCGTACCGGACCGGGGACCGGCAACGGGATTGCAACCCTCGGTGTTGCTCCCGCGCCTCGCTCAGCCAGTGAGCGGGAACTGGTCCGTATGTGGGATCCGAACCCTCGGGCAGGAGCGCCACCGCGCTTCCCAAGCGGCGCACTATCCAGTGCGCCACCGGGCCGGCCCCAGAATTCCTTTTTTAAAAAAAAGATTAAAGCTTGTTTTATTTGTGACCACAACCTTAACTGAGTGTGGAATAACTGCTACAAAAGACATGAGAGAGCGTAGGTAAACTTTATGGAGTAATTAATGACAAAACCTTCCTTGTTATGTTGTTTCACATAAATTATACACGTGTGCTTATATACATACACATAGTTTGCATATAAATATATAAACTATGAGACAGTTTTAATGTTTTATAAAATAGTTCAATATTTCTATTTAAATAAAATATAATAAAATATGCTACAACTAATATTTATACTGAGGCACTCATCTATTTTAATGAGATTTGACATTGTTTTAGCAGAAATAAATGTAAATTTTGAGGCATAAAAATCCACTAAAAGTTACATTTTCAACTTATAAGAATTTTCCACAGGAGTTTTGTTTTTAAAAAAAATAATAATAAATTATTCTTATAAATTAGGAGGAAATAATGCAAGAAACCAAGGTATTCATATGGTTCCGTCTTGCGTATCAAACCAACGTTGTTGATTTTCATAATTAGTCATTATACTTACAGTTTATAAACAGTAATTTTCTCTGTGTCCTCTAAGTGAGGGATCACAGACAAAGCCTTAAGAAGTATTGGGTGTATCTTTATAGCTTTCAGTTATTGACAAAATATGATGGAATATTTTATTTTACATCTTTATACAAGTAGTGAATAAAATATGTTGAACCCTGTGATCTGCTAAGAGAGGCCTCTTTCCACGTTGATGCTGGGGTGCTAATATGTGGACTTTGATTATACTTCAACACCAGTTCAACTGTATGAACTCTGGGAGAGTTTTCAACAATACTATAATTGCTCAGTCTGTGACATGTAAAAAGAAATGAATATCATCGTGTCATAACCATGCCTCATATTTTATGTAGAGCAAAAAAATAAATAAATTTAAAAAATAGATAAATTCTACAAACCGTCATTCCAAAATCACAGTGAATACAGAAGACTTTGAGCCCAATTTCTAAGCCAGAATTTCTCCTCAGTTTCCTATGAAAATAACATGCTATGAGATACCTGGTTACGAAAGGTGACTTTTGGACTGGTTAGTTATTAGCTAAGTTGGTTAGAGCATGGTGTTGATAACACCAAGGTTCAGATCCTTATACCAGCCAGCCACGCCCCTCCCCCCAAAAAAGGTAAATTTTACATAGACAGGGACAGCATAAAGGGATCTGTTTTGCTAACATTTTTCTCCCCCCATTGGGAAAGTGAGCTGACGAGGTCCGTGGGCGCTATCAGTTCATGGCTTCTGGCAGCAATCACTTCTCTATAGAGAGCTCTGCTTCCCAAGGGTATCGGCTGACTTAATGCACAAAAAAGTGCCCATCCAGATGTTGTTTTAAGATTTGTCTCTCTTTCCTAACTCTAACTTGTAAACACTTTAGATCCAAACACACCAATCAAGAACTTAAGGATGGAACCAAAAAGCAGAAGATTAACTTGGGACCTCAATGGGAATGTCACCAAAATTGAGTGTATCAAAGACTCACATCAATTCAAGGAGGTAAGTCACGTCCACTCTACTTAGCACACTGGGTGTTTCTGTCTTAACCAATGGTCTGAGAATCAGTAGAGCCCAGAGGCCAAGTCTATCTCTGGCATCAAAACCTCCCTGGTTCCAGTCCTGAGCCAGCTGTCGAATGTGGGGTGAGTCATTTACAAACACTGAGGCTCCAGTCCCTCCTTTGTAAGAAGTTTAAGACCATGCACACCCGAGAGGGCTGCTGTGAAAATGGGCTGAGATATTCCAGGCAGAGAACTGAGACCAACTGAAAGCGAGTGTTCAGGAAACACGGTTCTCATCCCCCAGTTCTCCCAAATGCCCTATAGTGTCATCTCCTGAGTTTGGAGGGCTTGAGAGCGGTGCCAGATCTCACGGGATGGCCATGGTGAGAATCCAAACTAATCAGAAGGCAACGTGTGTCAGGAGGCAAGCGTGTGCTACCTTGAGAATGAGTCTGGTCTCCTCAAATTACTCTCCTGATCTAATACAATCCAAATCACAGCCCTTTACTAGTCTGGTAGGGCTGCCATAACAAAGGACCACAAGCTGGGGGCTTAAACAACAGACATTCACGTTCCCACCATCCTGGAGGCTGCAAGTCCGAGATCAAGGTGTCGGCACAGCTGGTTTCCCCTGAAGCCTCTCTCCATGGCTCAATTAAATTAATTAAAATAAATTAACAGCATTAATTAAATTAATTAGATTAATGGAACTCAACCAACCCAGAAACAAAAAGTGGTATTTAGAAAAATTTTGTATGGAATTAAGATGATATTTCAAATCAGTGCAGAAAAGAAGTATGAAGCCAATGCGGCCAGCACAGATTTCAAAAGTGACTAAAGCCAAGTTAGATTCTTACTTCACCACAAACATTGATATCAATCAACTGCATTAAAGATCTAGATATTTTTTCTAATCACAGAAGTAGCAGAAGAAATACAAAAACATATATGAGATTATTTCAAAAATGTTGAATGGAAGCTCTCTCAGAGGAAGTCAGAAAACCTGGAAGTAATAAACTTAGGCTAATTTATGAATTGTGTACTTCTATATGCAAATAAAAACAAACTACAGACAGGAAAAGACAATCTATACAACACTTACAATAGAAGTTTAATATCAATCATGTATAACTACATACGTAAATACATATGGTCTGTAACATATATACAGTATTATACGTAATTATACATGAGGTACTTTAAAAAGTTCATGGAAAGATTCATATTTGAACTGTATTTTTCTCATGAACTTTTTGAAGTACCCTCAGCCAAACATATACTATGAGAATATCTGAAATCAATAAGAAAAAAAGATACTGCAACAGAAAAATGCAAAAGGAGCCATGAACAGGCAATTCACAAGAGATGGAACACACACGTCCGTTAACCAAGTGCAAAGGCACTCAACCTTTCCAGCAATCTCAAAAATGCAATTTGACAACAACAAAATACACATTTCACTCATGAGACAGAGGCTGACTTATGTCACCTATAGGGCAAAGGTCAGCTCCGGTACCCCCTTACAGTGCCTTCACCTGCGGCAACCCCATCCTCAGGTTGAAGGGGCTGCAGTTTCCTCTCATGAGGACAGGGGCTGCTCAATCCTCAAGTCCTTTTTTTATTTCACAAACTTTCCTGGTGCTTTTCTGTCTGCTTTTTCAACTTTGGCTTTTATGGAAGCATCTCTGTACATACAGCTGACCCTTGAACAACACGGGATCGAACTACACGGGTCCACTTAGACACAGATTTTTTTTTTTTTCAATAAATACGATACAGGACTGTAAATATATTCTTCCCTGCCTTACGATTTTATGAATAACATTTTCTTTTCTCTAGCTTACTTTATTGTAAAAGTCCTGCATGTAACACACAAAATACGTGTTGATCGGCTATTTATGCTACTGGTAAGGCTTCCCATCAACACTAGGCTATTAGTCGTCAAGTTCTGGGGGAGTCAAAAGTTACAGGAGGGTGGGGGAGGGGGTCGATGCCCATAACCTTCACGTTGGTCCACGGTCAAGTGTAATTTAGAGTAAATAGTTGTCCAAGGTTTGTGATGACCAAAAACAAACAAATAAACTAAAAAAAAAAAAAAAAAAACCCTAAACCCCGGCCCCC